TTGAGAAGAAGGAAGAATTTAAAGGAAGGATTGAAGACAGTTAATGCTTGTCCCGGAGAGAGGAATCCTTTCTGGTATGGCTTTAAGTAGCCAGATAAGCAGTCTACCTCTAACTGGAGTAGTGCAGCAGGTCGCACTTAGATACCAATAAGGTGGCTGGGTAATGTTGAACTTAGTTATTAGGAAAATTCTATGTAGTTATTGGATATAGTTGCAAGAATCTTAATAAAATACTAGCGTGGCTGATTAAGAGCAAAAAAAAAAAAAAAAAATAGGTTGATATAAACAAGAGTAGATTGTATTTTATATCATATTTTAAACTTTTAAATAATAAAGAAATTAACTTTTTAAACTATTAAAATGTATATTATATATACAATTTTTTTTAAAAAAATTTTTGAAATAAGTAATTAAAAATAAATAACTGTTACAATTTACTATAAAAATTAAGCTCATTATATGCATGTTAATTACTTAAATTTTATAATAAAAAATTTACTCTTATAATCTGCATGACAAATCATATGACTACAAAAATTCTTCAAGTGATTTTACTATTACTTTTCCAAAACTTAGTCTTATTATAAACGTTAATTCTAACTTAAATAAATTTAAAGATTTTTAAACACTGTCATGTAAAATTAAAAATTTAACAGTAATACTTCATTGAAAGACATGCTAATTTTTGTAGATCTGCCCATAATTATTCATGAAAATCAACCAATCAAATCACATCATTTTTATAATTAAAGAAGAAAAAAACGAAACCTATATATATAAATCAATAAAAAAAAATATTTTTATATCATATAACTAGAATATATAAGAAACTATACTATTTATTACCAAAACCAAGTACAATATGTATTTTGTTGTCAGTAAACCTAAATATACTACTTATGATTCTAAATTTACTACTACAATCAGCAGACACAAAAACGTTACAAAAACCAAACAAACACAAACATAACCCAGGTTCTTTTATTAAAAAGGGTTTACACCTACAATATATACTAGTTAAACAGTTAGTAATGGTTTATTTAACTTAACTTAGTTGTGTTTTAACAAACGCATTTTAATTACCTTTCTTAAGTTAGTTGATTGTCTACAATATTTATATGAAATAATTTCATATAGCCCAATAAACTTTGTCTTCTAAGTAAACTATGTCAGTTTTGAGATCTTTTTGAGATTCTTTTTTGCAGTGAATATTGTCATTCGTTGAAAGGTAAAAACAAGTTTTTCAACGATTTTTGTTAGTAAACTGTTGTGCTACCAAAAAGTACTTTAAAATGCATAAATAAGTTATCCGGGCAATTGATTTATATCAGCCAATCATACGAATGTCCCTCTATGAGGCGATACTGGGGAAGATGTCTAAAGAGTAAATCTACAGACACCTACCAGTTCACGTGACTTTACACCTACCCTAAGTTAGGGTGGGTAGGTTGGTACAAAAATTACCTGAATTAGTAGGTGTGCGAAAAACGACAGTCTAAATCTGTCTTGGGGCAATAATTAAAAATGTCGGGAAGGTAGTTTGACCTATATCCCCCTTCTCATACTAATAAACTAACCCTAATCCCAACCTTAATTTTAATTAAACATCAAAATCACGTGGGTATATGGCTTTAGATAATTATTAATTATTGTTTGAATTTCCTTTTTTGAATATTGGAACTAAGCCCAACTGGGTAATTATATAGAGGGATGACTGTACATAGAATTTCACATTAAACTAATTATAATTCACTACAACTATTTTAAATGATTACTCTTGAAACAAATTCTATTTATAATTTAATCATTATCCTGAGGTTTTAACCCTTCGATTAAAGCTTTGATCCCTCAATTGCGGATTTAATCCTTCGATTAGATTTTAAATCCTTCAATTGGAGCGATAAACTTTAAAAAATAACAAATACTAATCCAATTAAAGAAAAATAGTGAATAAACTAAGTTTTTGGGCATAACACCAGCTAGTGTTCTGCAAATAGGTACCCGAATTGGAAACACAGGGGATTTTTAACATTCTGTCATAATAATTATTAACTCACATTCTATCAATTGCTTGACAGCGAGATTTTGAACATCCTCTGCGATTTCAATTTGGGTACCTGTTTGCGGAACACTAACACCTGCTACCAGTTTTTGCAGGCGACGTTAGGGTCATTGTAGAACTAGCGATTACATTGTCTACTATTGCATAATTCACCTATTTTATAGAATTGGCATAAGTGAGGCCAACCTGATTCTTTGCTTTATATTATCCCACTCCCTCCTGAGTGAGGGCGGTTTATCACATTATCTATATATATATAGATGTTTCTTTTGCCCAAAGACACGATTTTTTTGACCAAATTTTCCTAGATCATGAATTTTTTTCTATTTCAGTTTTTCAGCCTTTTTCATCAATGTTTGCTCATATTCTAGGTTCATTCATTGTCTACACCAAAACTTTTGGGTCGTTTAAAGCGGGCAAATTCACGTGACCACGGCCAGTTAAATTATAGAATTTTGATGAGCGCCGGCGAATCAAAGCAAGAAACAAAAACGAAATACCCCAAAATACAAAGAACAGCAGTCTAAATATACCTCAGGTAGGTTAAGTAAAAATGTCTGGAAGGCAATTTTTCTTATATATAACTACTTAAAACCTAACCTAATCCCAATATAAGATGACCTTAACCCTAAAGTTAATTGAGAAATTATTAAGAAATATGAGTTGCCCCCGCTTTAGATGTCCCAAATATTTACAAGCTTTATATTTAATTTTCTATATACTAAATGAGAGAGGGGAAGGGATAATGTAAAACACCGAATCAGATTGGTTTCATCTAAAAAATAAAGCAGAAATAAATATAAATTTTAAAATTGTAATTTTATTGATACTAAGTGAATTTAGAGATATAGAAAAAAAAGTGACCATTTATGTGATTTGCGTAACATTACTGTGACATTAATTTCATACTTCAAAATGTAATACGATAATCTTTGTATGGAACATCCTTTGATATCAGGTCCTATAAACATGTTAAACCCTCTCAAGTTTATTCACCATAAAGATATTTGTGTGCTTTCTCAATAAAGTTTTGAGATCGTTTTCATATCTATATTGATAATGTATAGTGCAAGACAAAAACTTCACGAACTTGCAAAAAGGTGTGGTAGAGGTAATAGCGGTTAAATTATTTCTTTATACGCTGATATTTATAAATTAATTGGTATATTTTTACATTAGATCCTAAAGATCTCCCTACGATTTTTCAAAATCCACATATTGTCACTCTTGTTTTCGATTATTTAAAAGAGAAAGACAGTGAAGAAATGCCAGCACTTTTATTTGATTGGAATGATGCAGGATTTAACGACACTGCTGTTCCAAATTGCCGTAACGGCATCGAAGGACAAACCAAAGCGTCTATAATTGCAAACCTTCTTGCAAATGGTGCAACCAATTATAGGAATCAGGATATATTATTTATTTTTCCGAATGGCCTCACAATTGGGGATTGGTACTGGAATTTGGTGACAAATTTACCTTGGTATGAGATATTTATGTGTTTTAGATTCTCTGAAGTCACTTACCTATTATTATTTCTCAAAGGGCGAAGCACCAAAATGGTATTCCCGATATCTGCAACCACTTTTTAAGAATAAATAAAATTTCGGCACATACAGGCAATACAGATATCGAGAATTCCTTGAGTGTCTTATATTGAAGTAAAAGATATTAGATTGTTTAGATATGTAAATCCATTCTAGAAATCTTTCCCTCTTAAAAATTGAATGAAATCAAACTTTGCAATAAATCTTTCCCTTGCAAAATTTGTGCTTGTGAGCACTATGTGCAGTTCTACTACAAAATCCCATCTAACCACAACCCGACATGACAATTAATATTTAGTAACATATTAACAGACTTTAAATTTTAATTGTCACATCGCGTGATGTCTGTATTAGGATAGATTTTGATATAGGATAACTTTCTTCTGATTGGTCAATCACTTACAATTGTATTTATATACAGTTTAAAGTACTTTTTAAGAATGTAACATTTCACAAGTAAAAAATAAAGTAAAAGTCATCGCTATCTTCGAAGAAGTGCCAACAGTCACTATGCAAAATAATCCCAAATAATCCCACACCTAGAGGTAGCTTACCCAAAGGTAAAATTTCTACGTAGATTGCGACTATAAAGAGGTTTTAAAGCATAAAGAATGTTAATACATAAGAATAGAGTTAGTATAACGAGCTTTGGGTATAATAAATGACAGATCCTTAAACATTATATTAGTTCGGCATAAAAAATGTGATAGGCATTTAAAAAATACGTATATAGACCTATTTTTTTTTCTTTATTCTTGTGTTAAAGTGAGAAGCGATAGAGAATATTAAGATCGTAATTTTCACATTAAATAACTGTTCACAAGGTTTTGCATCTTCAAAATCTTCATAAAGTTCATAATATTTTAAAAGTTCTTCCCGTTTATAGGCACAATCCTGATGTCACTTGAATTGTCCAGCTTCATTGTTTTTGCCTTAACCTTATTGGCATTTTTAATTGATACTCGATATTCGTTGCATGATTTAACAATTTTATTTGCAATCCAATAAAGCTTTCTTTCGGGTACCACCCCTTACAATGATTACACTTTAGTAAATTTTTTTGGTTATGAATCATGTTATACCAGTTTAATAGCAAAATAAAAATGTGCAATAATAAATAAATCTTTTGGTTCAATTACAAGTTCTTGTATATAACCTTCTTTGACTTTTAGTCATGAAAAAAACCAAAAATTTTTTAACAGCAATGGTAAAAGAAACTTTAAATAAGAGCAAAGCAAGTGCTTGATAAAGATTGGCATATAATAGTGATGGAAATTTCTAATTGTTAATAATGAATTGTTAATGATAAAAAATTAATTAATAATAACTGAATTATCCAATATCGATATGCATACGTAGAAATAAATGATCTATTTATTTGCAAATAAGCGATGGGCAATTTTTTTAAAAAATTTAATGATATTTGTCATTAAGTTTACAAATTTCACGAAATGGAGGTTTTTAATAATCCTATTATTTCCGAAATATGCTATTTTTTTTAATCTTCAATAAGTGATAATGTAAAAATAATTGCATCAGATTTTAATATTTGAACCATTGATAAATTTTTTGATATATCAATGATTCACTTTCAATTAAGTTCTCCAAGATTTCATGATAAGAATTTAACAAGACTCCCTTTATTTATATATTGAAATACCATCAAACATTCATTATTGGACAAATTTATTATGTTAATAATTTATTCATGATATATTATAAATATTTTTTTTTATTTACTGTGACTTTATTAGTATAAATAATTTTTACTTACCTACTTCTCTTAGCTCTTTTGTGAGCCGACTAATTGGCTTAAATGCAACTATGTAATGGTATAAATAAGTACTTGTACCCATAGATCCGTCCGAAACTATTCTTTTATCATCTAACCATGTTGCTGAAAGCATTAAAAACACTATCAAATCCTTCTTCACCAATATTTTGAACGATATCAAGTCTATTAACAGGAATCCACTAGTACTGTAGTATTCAGTGGCTTTAAGCTGAAATTTCTAATACATCTTTATTTCCTTTCATCTGACCTTGTTTTCTTAGAGTCACAAGTTCGACACCAAGTCAGAAATGTGTTATATTGGCTGCAATTTGCACCTTCTGTATTTGAATTGGAAGCCCTAAATTTAATATAGTGAAAAAATCAACAAATTTAATTGGTAAATTACTGACGCACTAACGCTAATATTTATCGTTATCATTGGTCTCAATTATTCTATTTCTTTCGTATACCGTTCAACCAGAAACTTAAAAATCCTGATGGATCCGCGATGCATGATTCTCAACCAATTGTAATTGCACAGTATTAACTATGCAATTGAACCTAGGTGTAGGGTTGGAAGATTACCGTAATTTTACGTAAGTTTCTGAAATCAAAATTACATGTAATTTTTATCATGTGAATAATTTTTACAAAAATTTTTATAACGCTGGTATTAAAATTAAGAATAAATAAAAATTACAATTCCGAATATAATAATGGATATCTATTAGTGCTGGCTAACTTTTGTAATGTCGGTAAAATTATCATGTGATAATGCACTATTCAATGTAAAGTTACATTAAGTTACAATGTAATTTACATGAAACGTTACAAAGTAATTCATGTAATACATCCCTACCTAGTAGTGATCCAAATCGTTAGTTGAAAAATCAACTAGTTGATTTGGAAAATTTAAACAACTGAATCATTCAATAGTTCAATTATGAGATATTTTGTCTGTTCAGGCTAACTCATGCTAATTTCTTTGTTTTGATTGGCTAATTAACAAATTTAGTCACACGATATAAAAGTTGATTAGTTGCAACTATGGTTGGCAAGGCAAAATTGTTACCAACTTGGAACACTACTACCTAGGTGCCGCACAAAAATGCGCATTTGGCCGGAATTAATCAAAATTTTACTAATGAAATCACAACCACCCATTAAGTGAAAATTGTTCCTGGACTAATTTTATTATAGTGCGGGCCTATTTCTTTGAAAATTTCTATTTTTAGAATAAAAAAGTTAAAAAGTTAATTCCGGCCAGAAATTAGTAAACGATAATGTAACGCGGCCAAAATTTTGCAGATCCACGGCCGTTAGCCAATCAAAATCGAGGGTCTGCCGTTCATTTTTTGTGCGGCACCTAGGTTCAATAACTAATGCATGCCGTAGAAAGTATTTCGGCATAATTTCCACCTGAATTTTGGCATGCATATCATAAAAACCATTTTGGCTTAGTTAAAAGTATTCGGCATTTATTTTTTGATATGAAATTGCTGTGTTGTCTCGGAAATTTATATGCCATGCCGAAATAGTTTCTATGAATGTACACTAAAAATTATAATATAAAATTGCAGCTATCAATTAGGTTATGACTTGTATTTTAGATTTCGGCTTTTGCTTCAGAAAATTTGGTGCCTAAATATTTTCGACACAGTCGCAACTAGTTTCTACGGCATGTATAGTATTAACTAATATTTTAAGACCTAAATTGACTCAAATTTCGAAATAACGCACGTGACATACTCATAATAGTGCGCAGCCCTACAAAAAAAAAATCATATAGAAAACATATAGTAAATATATAATAAACATATAGAAAATACAAAAATATACAGAAACATATAGAAAACATATAGTAAATATATAATAAACATATAGAAATCATCAGAATCGTAGTTTTCAGCAAATCTTAAGTACCATTCGAATCAGGGTTAGGCAATCGGACAAGTGGGGTTGTCCGATGAAATTTAAATTTCTAAAATTGCCTAATTTTTTTTTTTTGAAACAAGAAACATCCGTTCAGAGTCAAGCAAACCAAATAATTAGGACAGTAATATATTGCCAATTTTTACTCTACATGTGTTTATCTTGGTTGTGCATATACATTTCTCAACGAAGTTCAAGATTATGGGTCCAATAAGATTCCCGTTTCATTATGAAGGCTTCATTCCTATTCCTTTTGGCTTCAATCTCATAGTGAGAATAATTACCAGTATTAACCGTTCTTTTGGCATACCTATTTTAGAAAATTTTTGATACTCACCTTAATGATAACTTTATGTTCGTCTATCACTCCAAAGAACACTAACGATCATGAAACTGAGAAATGAAACTGGCACTAACCAACGGCGACAAAGCCAGCGATGAAAAAAAAGAAGAGTTGAAATGGAATACGTTAACGACGACTAGAAAGAGAAAATTCATGAATTCTGAAAAGTAAAAAAAAAAACCATTTTCCTGTAACTGTGGACAAACGCGCGTATTTTTTTCTTCGTTTAATTTATTGTTTATTCGGGCTAATATTATTTTTAAAACACGACAAATAAATTTTTTATCACTCTTAAATAAAATTATCAAATTTGTTATAAATGAATTATATTCGAAGATTTGATCACTTATAGATGTTTATTAAAAATAATAAAATTTCCGTTATACAAGACACAGATGTATAAATTCTATTTGCTAACATACACGATTATATTATACTATATTTATATACTCCTCTATCTAATCTTTCATGCGTTATTAATTTGGAAAAACTTGGCCGCCGTAAAAATTAGCAATTCGGTAACGATTCATTCTCAGAGTCTTCGGTTTTGTTTATAAATAACCTATTTTTTTAAAAATAAAAATAAAAAATGAATAATTGCGTCATCGAAAAACTAAGCAAGGACGTTCACAATAATTGTGACCACGAAGAGCTTCCAGTTGCTCAATTTTATGTATCACGTTTCGCCACCAGTGGTTATTACCAGATCTTGCTCACCCGACCATATTAAGGAGTAATTACCTTAACCAGTCAGTCCCGCAAGCACTGACCAAAATAATAAACCAAAGTTATCTCTAAACTATATGATAAAGAAACGAACGTTCGCAACAGGCGTCCACTGTAGAATCCTAACAGCAACTTCACAAGTTGCGGCCCGAAGTGCTTTCAAATTTCTTTAACCTATAGCCAAAGTCGCAAAACGAATACATACAATTCAGCAATTATTCAGCACAATAGATTACCTGTACATTTGCGTTATTGTAAGTATTGCTTTGAGTAACGTTAAACTATCTAAAAATTTAATATTTGTTTAGAAGTTTCAAAATGACCAATATTTGTAAATTTGAAAAAACGATGGGTTCAAAAGCGTGAAGTTTTACTTAATTAAGTATAAAGTACTAAATATGAATATAAAATACGAAAAGTAAAAGGTGGCGTGAAATTTAAAAAAAATACGAAGTGTAAAGGTAAAAGGTGTAAGAAGTGCGAGGCGTGTGAAAAAAGTTTTTTATCAATGTTTTGATCACACGCGAAAATGATGTTTGATTGGCTGATTTAAATCAATTGCCCGGGTAGCTTATTTATATGATTTAAAGTACTTTTTTAGAACTGAACGTTTCACTAATGAAAAATCACTACAAAATCATTTTCAGCTTTGAACGAACGTTAAGATTCACTATACAAAAGAATCTTCCTTCTCGTGGACTTTGCTTAGAAGACAAAATATATTGCCGTTTATTGGACCGTGCAAAATTGTACTATACAATGAGGGTAACTGGAAATATTTTCGTCTAAAACTACTTGTTTCGTAAGATTTAAATAAATTCATATCGCTAATTGTTCAATTTGAAAGGTACAAACTCTTTAGCAGTAAAAACTTCAAGGTCAATGTTTAAATTTAGTCGCTTGGCTCAATCATAAATTAAAGCTTTGGGTTATATACTGTAGATTCCTTAATGGGTTTAGAAAAAATAGGGGAATTTACAAATAATGGCCCGGAAAGTGGAAATAATTACAAATACAAGCCCAAATTAAAAATAATTACATAAAAGGCCTAATTTTTAAAAAATATTACATATAAGGGCCCAAAATAGCAGCGACACTATTCAGGTGATCGTTATTCGTACGTATAAGAAATACAAGCATCAATAAATGTAGTTATTAAGTACATAAAAAATGTAATGATCGATTGTAATTTCATTTTCTTTGTATAAAATCGGTTATTGTTATAATAAACCACTATGATATCAAATAAAGTACTGTGAATTGAAATAGCAATTACTAATTGTTCTGCTCTTGAGAGCTACTCTGTTGAAACCTCATCGTCTTATAAATAATTGTGCTAGTTTAACACTACTTTTTATACAATATTTAGGCGAAAATGATTGTAGCCAGCGTTTTATTTATTTTTTTATCTAATAATTGATATCTAGATAACTCTAAATGCCTATAATAAAACAATCAAAATTATATAATCGCGATTTTGCAATTGTTATAAGTCAAATAGTCAGAGTACTTTGTGGCACAGTAGTTCCGTGATAACGTTTTTCATCCATCAATAAACTTAGGCCCCTATATGTAATTTTTTTTAAAAATTAGGCCCTCATGTGAAATTATTTTTTAATTGGGCCCGTATTTGTAATTATTTTCACTTTCCGGTCCCTTATTTGTAAATTCCCCTAAAAAATATTACATATATCCTACTTTACATGTATCTATCTAATCTCTAAGACATATGTGATAATTTCATTTGCATGTATTTATTGGTTTGTAAGCTTTATAAGCTTCTTTTTTTTATTTTCTATTAGTAGTATTAAACCGATAAAATTTTTAATTTGATTGATTAATTACCGCAATCATACGAATATCGGCCTATGAATCCCCGATTGCAAAAATTCGGGTCATTGTGACATGGCCTAAATTATATGTTAATTTCGTAATGCTGGCCAAAATCCAATTTTTTTGCGTTATCCAAATAAAATTTTGACAGTCCTGGTACCCATCTCTCACCTGATGTGCAGTTTATAAAAAAACCGATTAGTTGTGCAACATTCCTGTTGATATAAATTAGATCATATCTGGTTTTTTTCGTGAATCATTCATTCAAATCATGTCTAACGATTCAAATACCAATGTTGATCCTCAACAAGTATTTATAGTCATTAATGCAATTATTTGCGCAATTAATTGTTTCGCGTTTACCAAGTTGTTAAGTTTTTACGATAGGAATTGCAATCCCTTCGGCAGCTTCGCGCGAGTTTGACCGGTCTAGATGTTTTGACTAAGCAAATTTTACAAGATCTCGAAATTATGACTAGAAATTATGAGTCTATCAATGGTATGTACCTCAAATAACGACTTTTTCCTAAAGTTGTGATTGTTCGATATCTCTGGCTCAAAATAAATGATAAAGTCGTCTGTTTTTAAATATATATATATATATACTTTTCGTGTCTCAAATTTATAGCAATTTTTGATGGCTGGAAAGTTACTAAAAAACGGGAACGGGAACCGTTAGACGCAACTAGGGACAGTGATGGCAAATGATATAGTCAGAAACATTTTTACGAAAATGTGCATAAATGGCATTTATTATAAAAAAAACCATACAAATCATGGTAAACGACAAGTCATAAAAAATATTGTTATAAATGACATTAAAATGACGAACTACAATCTTCAATAAACCAGGATATTATTATTACTAGTCTTTGTAAATTACTTGTTATGCATGATTCTTCAATTTATGTTATTCGTACGTAGATTACGTAGAAACAATGACATTTTGCAATTAAACTTATGCCTAAATGCTAAATACTACTGTATTTCAAGATTTTCAGCTTGCACATTTTTCTGTAGATTATTATTAATGGTTTATCACTGCAAAATCATTTTTATATTAGAGTACATAAAAATTTGTTTTAGGTCATTTAATTATTAATTGTTAATACAAATTCTGAAACCGGAAGATGCTGAAATTTGGGATTTTGATTTAAAAATATAAAATCCACCAAAAATTTGGATATCAAATTGCAAAAATTTATTTGGATAACGCAAAAAAATTTGGAAAAATTTGGATTTTGGGCCAGCATTACGAAATTAACATATAATTTAGGCCATGTCACATGATTATTAATGATCCGAATCTTTGCAATTTTTGCATCACATCATAGCTAATTATCGATATTGTGGATTGTAATAAACCTTATCACGTGACTATAATTATCCAATCAGACTTTCAATTTTTTTAGTCAAGTCGATAAATTTGAATGTGCTATTTTATTAGCCTAACTACAAAAATTCATATTAAAATAAGTAACATCATCCCCAACAATAAATCCAATTCTTTCACAACTTACTTTAGAATCAACTCTCAATATAAATACGTATGTTATTATCAAATTGGTCAAATGATGTATGAAGTATATATGTTGTACCCCGGATGAGAATCCACCCGATTCGGAATCCAGTTATCCCAATTCAGAATCGGGGTAACCGAATTCAGGCTTCTTATGCAAGTTGCCCGAATCGAAAATTACTTAAACTATCACATATTAATTATTTCGATATGCTCATTATGTTATTAAGAATTGAAATGTAAAATTATTTTTCTAATTATAATCATGACCTTTATTTTGCATTTCAGCACTATGAAAGTATTTTAATACAGCATTAATTATGGCACAAAAACCTGAATTCTAGATATGGTAGTAGTATAATGAGTGAAAAAAAGAATATGATTTTCAATTATAAAATGATAAATTGCATAATAGCATTTAGATAAAGCAATTAAAGAAAAAAATGTATAATCAAAAGTTAGGAAATTTTTCTAGCATTACAAATTATAAAGACAATAAAATGATTTGAACTTGTGAACAATATTGAATATTATATGGATTCTTATATCTTGAAATAAAAAAATTTTCTTTCTCTACTATTAATCTTAAGCTTTGTGTTAACATTTCAAATTTTTTAGATAACATCCACTTCCACATAAGGTATTTACTTTTTTGCAAGCACATTTTGTTGTAAGGCAATTTCCCTTACAATTGTATGTTATATTACCAGCAAAAGCATTGGATTGTAATCTTGTGGTCTCAATGATACTAACAGTTAAATTAATTAGAGAATTATCTAGTTTCAGAAACTTTTTTAACCCAAATAGTAAAATTACACTAGCTAAAAATACTTTATTAAGAATATCAAATCAACATATAAAATAATATATATTTTTGAAAAGTATTTTATATATTTTACAAAAAAGTATAGAATGATCTCCAGGGTCATAGTCAATTTTATCAATTTGAATCTTTACTAAATTACCAACTTTATAAGTATGTTCATGAATCTTATATTTTATATGCATTTGATGCTTCATTTTGAAATGATAATTCTCAAGATTTCTATTTGTAACATTATAGTAAATATTATATTGAGAAGTCAAATTATTTGAAGCTTCTTGAATAGCCTGAATATGATGTTTTTATATAAAGTATATAAATTATTAATTATTTAATTTTTCTATTTATAAATAAAAATTTAAATTATAATTAATAAAATTTTTCTAATTTATAAAAAGAACTAAGTTTTATATCAATTTTCCTTTTGCATTTATTTGATTTACAATATTATTTTATATTGAAATTGTTTGTTCTCTAACTATTTCAGCATCTTCACTAATAATTTATTATATTTGTTATTAATTATCAATAGTGGTTTTTTGTAGAATTGTATAATTATTCATAGTTATATATATTTGAAAGTTTATAATTTAAATATCCTGTTGATTATCCTAAAATATTTTTATATATGAATATAATTAATTAAAATATTAAATGAACTATTAGCCTAATATTTACCAATTCGTGTTCTTCAATAACTGATTTATCCTTTTATAATTAAAAAATAGTATTGAATATCAAAATTTTAATAAAAAAATTATTAACAAAATACTATTAACTAATAAGATATTTTTTTGTTAATTAGTCTTATTAAAATCACTATTTTCTTGTTATGTAGTATTAGAAAATGCTATTAAAAATTGAGAAAAACTTAGTAAAAAAGTTATCAAAAATTTATTAACTAGTAAGTTATTGTTCTCTTCTATATTCTTTTTCTTTTTCTGTATAGTATCAGAAAATGGGATTAAAGACTATAAACTTGAAAAAATTATATAAAAATTTTTATTTATATAATACAAGTCATCATCTTCACTTTCAGAACATTCTTCATTTACAATAATACTTTCAGGCAAGTCTTTTTTTATATTAATATTATTTGTTTTCTATTCTTTAATCATATTAAAATATCATAATGAATGTTGTCCAAAAACTAGTTCATAAGGTGTATAATTAGTAGGTCTAGACTGACAAATATTTATGAAATTTTTTAAAAAAAATAATAATAATAATTTAATATAATTTAATAAAATAATATAATAATAAATTACTAATTATTATATTTACAAATAACTATTGGAAGTCCAATACTCTAATTTTTTTGATTATTATCTCCTATTTATATTGAAAGAGTATTTTTTAAGATCTTATTAAAGTTTTTAATTAAATTTTGTAACTGAAGATGACAAGGCTGCCCATTAATTATATAAATCTTCTTTCATAAACTAAGAAACTTATAGATAATTTGAACTGTAAATTCTCTTTTATTATCACTTTATAAAATATATAGAGGTTCAAAAACAATAAAAACTAAAAATAAAAATACAGCAACCTTTGTCATTTCCTTAGTATATAGTAGGCATGTTCATGAATACTGTGTAAAATAATCACAAAGATATGCAATATACTGGTAATCTCTATCAAGATACTTTTCAAATAAAACAAAATCAACTTGTATATATTATAAGAATCTTTTTGAAATAATAGTCTTTTCAATAATGGGTATAGAAAAACTTCTTTGCATATAGCATTGTGTATATCAGGTAACATACATTTCTACAAATGATTAAAGAATGTAAGTATATTAGTTGCTTAACTAAATATAAAATAAATTAGAAATAAAAAAATAAAACATTAATATAAATTTAATAATTCTTATTTACTATTTCAAAAGTTTTTTTGAAACCAGAATGTTTATATACATTGCTATATATCTTTTCAAGAACAGTATAAAAATTCTGAAATGGACAAATAACTTATTCTGTTTTTCATTTGTATTTATTAATTTTATAAGTTAAAAAATAGGATTTTAAAATGTTTCAAGATCATATAAATAAAATTTTTTTTTGCCTAAAAATGGTCTTTTGCAGTTCTGTTAGATGTATTTGTAAGATTTTTTAAAATACTATTGATTAAATCATAGTTCTCTTGTATAATTATAGTCTTTCTTTGTTGCTTAGAATTATGACCTAATAAAAATTCTGAAACAAGTTGATTAAAAGCAGCATAAAAAAAAAAGAAAACTTTATATCAGTATCTATTATATATAAATTATTTTTATTAAACAGTAATCTTGCTAAAAGTTAAACAATAAATCATATAAGTATCTCAAAGCTTTGTTTTCTTAGCAAATTTATTTCTTCGATTTTATTTTTTTTTTTAAAAAAAAAAAAAAATATTAACTTTTTTTTTTTTTATAATTGATTTAAACTTAATATATTGCATTATAACGATATTATATAGATCAATAATTTACTTTACTATTATATAAACATATACACTTTACTTCATATTATGTAAAACAAATATAAAAGAAAAGTTTATTTGTCTTCTAACTGTGTTATTATCAATATATAATAATTTAAGTTATAATCAATTATTTGCGATTGATCATTTACAGAGCATTGATCAATTTAATTCAAACAATTCATATAAGAAGTCTGAATTTGGTTATTCTGTTTCTGAATTAGGATAACCAAATTCTAAATCAGATGAATTCTCATCTAGAGTATAATATATATACATATGTATATATATTTATTTTATATGCTAGAATATTTGATCAGACCAGTGATCAACAAATTTTTAGTTAGACAATGATTTGTTTATTATCATATTATTTTGAAATAATACCCAGAGTGCAGATTGAAATTTTGGCTTAATTGGACTAAATTAAACTTAATTCTGACCAAATTTTTAATTTGCACCCCAAGCATTATCAGTACATTAAAATATTTTATAAGTTCTCAGTTTTACAAATAAACTTGATACATGTCTAATTTTAGAATATGTTCAATTACATATAGATCTATATATTGCATAAATCATATTCTTGATAGTTTTCTAAACCATGCATTTTTCTTAACAATAAAAAAACAATCATGAAACTTAGAAAAAATAGTAGATAAATTAAGAAACAACTACTACAGTCAACTCTTTTAATTTGAATTATTAATAAATTCTACAAAAATTGAACACAAAACTTTAGAACATTTATAAATTTTATTAAAAAATTCGAATTAACAACATAGTAATTCCTTGAAAACTGAACTTTTTGATATTTTTACATATAAGAACAGACCATTCGAAATAGAGAAAGTTGATTATACATTACAACTTATAGAAGAAACAAAGTAATTTTTAATATATAACAGAAATAAAATTATTTTTTATTTATAATAACTATATTTATATACAAATATTAGAAAATGTACTCAGGTATGATTGCAGGTTCAAAGAAAAGTTTCAAGAAAGATAAATCCAAGAAAACTAAAAAAAAGACTCAAGAAGTAGTATCAGAAAGATCAAAAGACTTAGAATTAGATAAGCTAGTTAAAGTAGTAGGTAAACTCTTTTCCTTTGGATTGCCTTTTGTGAGTTCGTTCAGCTAATTGTTTCGGTATAGTGAAAGGGCATTGTCTTATGGAACAATGTTGCGAAGGTGATTTTGCTTTATAGACTATGTAAGGATGGTTATATAGTTTGCTCTGACACAAATAGGATTCATAGTCCAAATGTTCCTTTTAAGGCCCCCTTCGTTTTGGGTTTCTTGGTGTGGTCGCCTGAGCTATTTGTTATAAGATAAATTAAGGGGGTGTATCTTATACAAAACAATGCTGCAATGGTGATTTCGGGCAAACCATAATTAAAGAACTGGAAGCGCATCGTGGCCGCAGAATTATCAGTGAACGCCCTTCTTTGGTCGGCCATTACTTGTATAGTCTATCTTGCAAGGATTGTTACGTTTTTCTGTTACGATTACTACTTAATGAATATTGTCATTTAATTTCCATTTAGATATTTAGAGAATCAAGAGCTGGAAAAACATTATCGACCACTACTAAGTTAGAAGTATCAATTCTATACAAGTATTGCTGTCGTACGTTGGAACGGAATTATTGTAGATTTAGAATTCACTTAGGTTGGATCAGATTAATCGATATTTTAATTGATTATGTAACGATAATTAAATAAATTATATCATATATTCATAATAAATTTTCAATATTAAATGCCAATTTTTTATCATTTATTTTTTTTTATTTCCTTTATTCGTTTTTATACCTAATAACTGAATCTCAAGATTATCCATTTTACCTCATAATACATTCAAAGAATTACTTTCCAATCACCTTAGCAATAAATCGGTCAATAGTCAAAGTAAATCCTTGATTTTTTTGTAGTAAGGATTTACAAGATTCAGCAAATACAAACACAACGATCGAAAGACACATTCTTGCAAGATCCTCAAAATTTAGGAGAATGAAGCATATAGACTTGGACGCAAATCCGGCATTATTAGAATTGCGTATAATGCTAATGAATTGCTTCCGTTGAGTCCTGATAATTAGGCAGTATTCCTTCAATCTTATAAACGTCCGAGAAGTGTTTATTATGCAATCTTCTTCACCAGGTGTACCGAATAATTGTTTGTTTGCAAAAATGCGTGTGGCAAAAATCATTGCAATGTGCTGCGTTATGAATAAACCCTATTTTAAAACGACTTAATTTGGAATAAACTTAATTTTCATTGAAAAATAACATGCACGCATTATTATGTAAAAATACAATTTTTTTGCTAGAGAATCATGCTATCCATTATCAATTAAATAAAATAGTTACTGATACGTCTTAGTGAACTTATTACATTCGTATCAACTATATATTTGCTATCTGCTCTCATTAGTCTTTATAGAGTTGAGACCTTAACTCGTCATTCGATGACAGATCTAACATCTAATATAAATTGAAACAACTCTCTAAACTTTTACTAAAAAGAAAAAAAAAAACTTATATACAATTAAATTGAGCATACAAAGTAGAATGTACAGAATTAGATTCTTAAGTGAAGAAAATTCACTATCAGCGTTGACTCATTAGAAAAATTTTTAATGCGATAACCCGTATATCGATATTACAATCAATGATTTATCGTTATCCAAAAAAAAGTGATTTACGCATGGAAAATCACTCGTGTTTTAGGTTCGATCATAATTCGATTGGATTTATAAACTATTGTCCTATTTTAATTTACGTGACTATCAATTTTACAACACAATTTAGAAACTTACATGAAATGGAAAAGCTACACGTAGTTTTGAATTCTTTACCCCAAATGTCCAAAGACATCGTGGACGACACAATTCATGAAAAAGTTCTTTCTTACCTTTCAGAGTATGCTTCCCAAGGGCCTGATATGGTTGCCACTTTCGTAGAATGGAACGTCATGGAAATTATACGTGTGCGTAATATACATTATAATATATTGTTTTTACAAACTATAATTTATGCAGAATTATCGTGTTTGATCTAAAAAAATCTCTGGAATTTGGTTAGGCTTGTATTATACAAGAAAATCGGTGCAACGAGATCGAAAATGGACACGAATTCACTAAAGACTCTAGGATTGTATCATTATCCATACGCTTTCTAGCACGTCTTTTGGCTAATGACGACAGGCAACGCGCGCTTTTATTTAGTCAAATCATTTACAATTATAACGATGTGCTTAATTTTATTTTGGACAACGCATTCTCTGAAGAAGGCTTGATGCGATATTCGTGTATTGAAGCTTTAGAACAAATAGTTACATATGAACTTGGTGCAAAATGGTAATTCATTATGGAAAATTGGTTCATTATCAAATATTGTTTAACATATAATATCAATTTCGCGAAGGTTCCACAATACAAAATGTGTACAAGTTGTCGTCACTTGCTTTTTTGACTCTAGTACTTATGTAAGAATAAAATTTATTTCGTTTAAGCAGAAAAAATTTTTCTTTGTTGCTATTTACTGTATGGTAATTAAATTAATTAAAAAAAAAAAAAAAAAAACAAAGGTAGCATCAGCAGCTTCACGGTTACTTTTATCGATTATCAACCATTCAACATTATTCATAGATACGACAAAGGACGCGACAAAGGCAACTGCACAAAATGATCTTTTGGAATTTTTAATTTCAACTCTCGATCTTTTTAATAAGATGCAAGAATTGTTAGTTGACCCTCAAAAAGATATCGGACAGCATTTAGCAGCTTTACAACTTATTTTAACTTTAGCAAGTTCAAAAACAACTAATGCATTCGAATTCTTGAAACGTGGACAATTAGTATGCTAACTTTCTGGTTGGCTCGTAAAAATTCATTACAACATTGTCATAATTGATGATTAACACATGTTTATGATTAATTGTATTCAAGTTAACCCGTATAGGTGTATTACTTGCTGAACGGGATAGAGTTATGAGATCTCGAGCAAATGATATTTTGTGTGCTGTTCTTGAATGGGCACCAAATCCTATTTCTTTGCTAAAAGGTGCTAGTTATACAAACGATCCAATCACTGAAAGTAAGGAATCATTATAATTACCATTCAGTAAATGTTTTTTTTTCATTTTTAATAAAAAAAAATTTTTTTTTTTTTTTTAATATAGCATTTGATTTCATCATAACCGACGTCGTTTTTTTCTTACTGCATAACGATACAAATTTTGATATGGTTGTCGTAGCCGTTAATGTTCTTGATTCTTTGCTTTTGTTAGTCAGGCGTGCGAGCATTGATCGTCATGAAAAACTCGCGTCAAGAATAATGGATATATTAGTCTTCTTGCTTAGCTTTTTTAAAATGCGACGGACTGCAGAGGAGTCGATAAATAAATTATCTGTTAACGATAAACCTGATGTAAATTTGTTATATACTAATGGAACTTATGATAAGGTATGTGAAATTGGTTTATCTTACAAATATTTTAATTTAAATTGTTATACCTATATTTTTATCAAAGTTAAGGTCACTTTTCTTAAACGTGAGGTTCAACGTTAATAATGAAAAGGCTTTGCTATCAAATATACTACATTCGATTAGTATTATTTCTCTTGAATTCAACTCAATAAACACGGTAATTATTTAAGCTATAAACCAATAAGTGGTCACTTCATCAATTAACTTTAGATCTTTAATAGATAACCACATCAATCGACGCGATGTGTGACATCTTATTTATTCCCAATTACGTTGCTGATCATCGTATATTGAAAGCAGTGCTTAGTGTCATTCCTACTACTCTTTCTGCCAAAATTGCTAATAGTCAAAATAAAGAAAGTCAAACTACCAATGAGGTTTCTTGATAATAATTCATGTGTTTGTAACACATTGATACCATTTATTGATTCGCGTTTATACTTGTTAAACTAGATATTAGAAGCAATTCAAAAATTGATGAAAGATACACAAACAGAATGTCAAAGTGTAGCTATATTACTCGAAACAATGCAAAAACTTCTTACTGATAATATTACAGGTCAATATATTCTTGACAATCAATATGGGGATGAATGGGCCGATGCGATCCTACTCAAAGTAAATGATTTTCGTTGGGAAATACGTGATTCAGTCCTTGAATCTGTTGATAAGTTATTTGAAGAGGTTAGTTTGGACTTTTTTTTCACTTTGTCTACGAATCTACTTTTTTTTGATTTTAATACATAGATTATTCTAGTCAAATAATATTGGGGTTGGTATTGATTTTGCGCTCAAATATAACTTGCCTCATATGGTTGTTTTAAAAATTAATGATGATGCAGCTTATGTGCGCGCATCATGCTTAAAAGCAATTAAGGTATTTATCTCAATAGTATTCTTGTTTTCGCAGAATAGCTTTAGAACCTAATTATTAATACATGGATCAATAAAGTCAATTATCCGCCATTCAAATGGATGGAAGTATATTGTTTCCCATAATCTGCATATGCAAATTGCTTCTAAACTTCCTCTAATGATAAAAGATACCGAAGCTCTTGTGCGACGAGCTGTGATGGAATTAATGATTTGCTTGATTATAGAACGCGAATGTGGTGCTATATTGTTAACGAATCAAAATATGGAGAATATTAAGTTCGTTTATCATTTAGTATTATCATTCTCTTTATTTATTTGTCGCTCTTATATTGATAGTGATTAATTTTTCTTTAGTAAAGCTGTAATGGATAAAATTATGAACGATCCAGATTTTTATGTTCAAATTGGTGGTTGTCAGTTCCTTACAGCGGTATGGTATTATTGCGAGCAAAATCAAAAGAATAAAGTGTCTGAAGAGGACTCTTTAATTGACGAAAATTCATCATGGTTTTATTGGCTTAATGGAGATAAATTTCTCATTGACGCAGTAAGTAACACCATTTACAAAATGATTTCATTCTAGTCACTTAATGCAATATTTTTGAATAGGCTGATAATCCAAGCCGTATAGTTCGTGGCGAAATTCTTCAGATACTTAGACGTCTAAAACTTTACCTCGAAGAAAAAATAACGTCTAATGAAGGGTTCTCATTATCAATGACCACTAATGACAATTTGCAATTCGATAATGAAATTGTTAACACATTCGGAATACAATCGTCACCATTAGTGAAAAAACATTCGGATTTTTATAGAAAAATATCATTAATTGATTTTGATCGGCTAGAAGCTACCATTGATGCCGAACATTTATACAAAGAAGCTTTAGAAAGTGTTAATCCTAGGATGATGGTCAATGCGGATTTAATAGTAGAAGGAAACGAAGACAATACATTAGACTGTTACTTCTAGAATTGAAGATGAAAACTTTGTGAAAATTTCAAGAATTGGTATTTGCGACAAACATAGTTTTGAGTCGTCGAAAGATTTTAGTTTTGGCCATATAAAACTTAATTTATTATTTATTCATTTATTTTATCGTCGTGGCTGAAGTTGGAAATCGGTGGTCTCTATTTAAAAAATATGAATCTACTCATGCTCATTTATTATAAACTCTAACCTAGTTCTAACTAGAGTTTAGAACCAGTCAATAATAAACCAGTTAAAAATCTACAACTCGGGTTGAATATCATATTCACTGAAAAATTAAACTAATCATAATTCTAGATTTACCTAACCCAAGTGACAATTTTACATTCGGTTCGAAATTTTAATCCTAACCTAATTATATAAAAAAAGTATACTAAAAATTTCATATTAAGGATTGTTTTAATGAGATTACATGTCGATCTTTTGAAGAGGGTAAGTTAAACCATCTACTTTCACAAAATTTTTTTCATGAAAAAAGTGAAAGATTAATGTGAGTTCCGTGAGGTTCTTTGTGTAAGTTTTATAATTGTATAAAAATATTTTTAAGTTTTTAATATTTTTAATTAGAGTTTTGTTTTATTGTTTTTTAGAATATTTTTTTAGTTTAAATGTTAAATATATTAGAGTTTATTAAAAATAATTTAATTTTAAATATAAATTATCAAAAATATATTTATTTTTTATTGTTTTAAATCTTTTAACTTTATCAATAAATAATTTACTTTATAAAGAATTAGAAATATTGTTTTTTTAAGTTTATTATAATTTTTTTTTATAATTTGAAGGTTTTTTTTTTTTTAATGTTAAAATCCTTATCTTCAGGATGTGACATTTTTATTCAAGTATATAGGACATAGGTTGCCTTTAGGGGCTCTCTTACATTGGAGGTTACAACTAATCACATGTACATTTTTGGTACTTAATTTTTTTTTTTTAAGTTAAAGTCCCTATCTTGGAAGATGCGATATTTTTATTCAAGTATATTAGGACATGGCATGTTACCAAGGGCTCACCTTACATTGAAGGTTATAACTAGCTACATGTACACTTTTGGTGCCTAATTTAAGTAGTCCACTTACACATTACTATATAAGTTCTACACTAGTTGTCATACCTGCAAGCCAACTAGGAGTCTTGCCTATTTAAACCCTCTGCATATGCAGTCCTTCTTGTATTATGGAAACATCTTAAGGTATTACCCATTCAAGTTCCTGATGCTTATCGTTACTCTTAGAATTACTTTATCTTTGATAAGAAACTTATTCGAGCCTTTATATCTCACATATATAGACCTAGTTTTATATAACATGCTATAGTTACCTAACACTTGCAGTTATAGGAGTTACCTATTTAACTACTACATTACACTATTTCTATCTTTGTAAAGTTTACTAGAACTCCAGTACTCATCTTTTCCATCATTCCCTACTAGTTGCAACTCAGAACCATTAATCTCATTCCAAACTACCAATCCAAATGGCCCGATATGATATACTTCTGTATTCTTTACCTCTGGCAAACCTGGTGGCCTGGTTGGTTATATGCTCCTCTATATATATTTGCTGTCCAGTTTTAATCTTCGGTTTCTATGAAGGTGTTTCATAAGCTTCAACTGGTCTAATGTTATCATCAAAAGTTTATGCTACCTCTTTACTTAGGAATTTTCAAGTAGGTTTCCATCACCTTAGTTTCTTAGTCTTCTACACCCAATGGTCTTATTGTGGGTTTGTACCGAAGTCTTATACAACACTGATAAACATTCCTCTATATATATGTAATGTTACACTTCATATAGATGCCTGAGCTCCCAATTTTGGGGGGACCTAACTTGGTGTATCTGGGTAACAGTCACATGAGGCCAACTGATCAATAAGAAACAGTTATCATAACGCAGATATAATTTTCAAATTTTGTTGTAGGTGGGATTTGAATCTTAGACCTGCTACTTGGAGAATGACAACCCAACCACTACACTAGGATCGCCATCCTTATTTTTGGTACCTAATTTAAGTAGTCTGCTTATATATTATTATATAAGTTCTATACTAGAGGTCTTGTCTATTTAAACCTTCTGCATATGTAATTTTTTTTGTATCATGAAAACATCTTTAGAGTTACATTTATTCAAGTTTCTAATGCTGATTGGTACTCTTAAAACTATTTTATCTTTGACAGAAAACTTACTAGAACCTTTATATCTTACATATATTGATTTAGCTTTATATAATATGTTATAGTTACCTAGTCATAAGGATTATCTGTTTAATCATTACATTATACTATTACTACCTTTGTAAAGGTCACTAGAACCCTAGTACCTATCTTTTTCATTATCTTCTACTAGTTACAACTTAGAACTAACAGTTTCTGATTAGACTACCAACTCAGATAACCTGTCATAATATATTTTTATATCCTTTTCCTTTGGTAAATCTGATAGCTTGGTTGGTTTTGTGTTTTTCTACATATATTTAATGTTCAGTTTAATGTTTAGTTCTTATAAAGATGTTTTGTAGATTTTAACTAATCTGATGATACTATCAAGAGTTTATATTATTTCTTTATTTAGAAATTTCCAAGTGGGTTTCTGTCATCTTGATTCCTTAGTCTTTTATACTTAATGGTTTTATTATAGGTTTGTACTAAAGTTTTATATAATATCAGTTATACAATTCTTTATATATATATAATATTACACATTATATAGATGTTCTGAGTTTTTAATATTAGTAAAACCTGACTTAGTATACCTGGATTACAGCTATATAAGGCTAACTAATTGACAGAAAACAGTTACTATAATGCAAATATAATTTTCAAATTTTATTGTAAATAAAATTAGAACCTTAGACCTGTCATTTGAAGGATGACAACCCAACTACTATATTAAAATTACCATTCTTTATAATTTAGTTTTTTAGTATTATTATTAAAGAATTATTAGTTATAAATATATATATTATATTTAACTTATAAAATTTGCAAATATTTAAATAGTTAGAAGAATATCAACTCAAAACTACAACTAGATCAAACTATTATAATTCAGTTCTAGCTGAATTTTCAATAAATGAAATCTCTACAACCTTCAATCAGCTACCTAACAATAAGGCATGTGGTCCATCTGGAATTAGTTATGAAATGCTAAAACAGGCTGGCCCTGCCTTTCTCTAATCAATAACTGCTCTCTTTAACTGATACATTCAAACCAACCGCATACCCAAGCAATAGAAAAAAGGTCATATCTTTCTAATATCAAAAAAACCTATCTTCGATAGAAACTTATCTAATACAAGACCTATCAGCCTAGTTGAATATATCAAAAAACTATATACCAAACTTCTTACTAACCATCTTAACTTAATATTCACCCAACATCTTATTTTATCTTCTTATAACTATATTGCCTACTTGGCAATAGTACCTCTATCCCTATACATATACTCAACAATATTATTGAAGATGCTAGTTGCAATAACAAACAACTTAGACTTTTGAGGGGTGTGACGACCTAGTGAAGTGGATAGGTTGTCAACCTCCAAGTGGCAGGTCTAGAGTTCAAATCCCAGTGACGGTGAAAATTTGCAATTCTTTCTATGTTATGGCTAACTGTCTTTCGTGATTGGTTGGGATAGAATACCTGTAACCCATGTCATACCAGCCTGACTGGAAGGTCTAGACATTCATGCAACATTGTATGAAGGAACACAAACTGGTACCGGGCGGTGTGAACCCAAGATAAGTCCTTAGGCCATGTAAATCATGGGAACCAGGTA